GCTTCAATTCAACTGGTGACTGACTATATGGGAGGCATTTTATTTCATGTCCTTTTTTATCTGTCAAAGTTCTGAAGTTAAACATAGAAGGAAACAAGAACTGGCTTTTCAATAAGTATTAAGAAAAGAATAAAAGTCACTGGTACACCTGTTGATCAAGTACACATCAAATGAAGATGTCTCTCTTAATCACTTTTTCCAAATCCAAGAGAAACCTGGCATATGATACAGGTTAAACGAAGAAGGAAAATTTCAAGAAATCAAGAGGAAAAAAAATGACAAAAAACAGCACCACAAATCCTTAGATGTTGTCCAGAATTTTAAAAATACTAGAATGAAATTAATTGGCTTCAGAAAACATCTCTAATAATTTCATATTAACAAAGGTAGGGGTGCATACCTATTCCCTTCATCCAGCTCACAACCTGAATCAAACAGAAGTGTCCTATCCAGAAAAAAGAAGCCCGTGGGAACAGCTAAATTTCCACATTACCAGAATCAAGGGATCTAAAATTAAATTAGATTCTGGTGAGTGAGAACCAGAAAGTGATTCTAATTCAGAAACGAACTTAAGGTCCCACATAAAATGTCACAAGCATGTGATGCCCCACAATTGTCCTAAAAAAATAACAACATTAAAAACCATAGAAATATTATAATGGGGAATGAATGTGATATACTACTTATATTTGTCTGACAAGCCATAGACTAGAACTAAAATGAGAATGTACTAATCAAGTAAGATTATAAAAATATTTACATAAAGCTATCTATGTTAATCTGAACAAATGTTAAACCAGCTTGTTACTCTGATTTTTCCCCCAAAGCTAGTGCTTGAATCAAGTATTTTTAGTATACTTTACAATTCTGGATTTTCTGTTCCTGTTTGAACCTAGGAAGCAGCCTAGCCTCAAGGCCCAGTTGACACCAATTACTCAGTGAACAGGAATTCCATTTCCAAAAAAGCCCAGATGGCCAACTCAAGAATGCTGACCACAAACATCCATATTAAGGTCTATGGGAAAATGTCCTGCACAGCCTATACATCCTGCATGTCCAAAGCCCCTCCCACTAATTTCTTTGTTCTGCTTTCCCTTTCCAACCTGGTAAAACCCTAGCTTGCACTGAGATGTTAAGATGAGTTTTGGAATGAGGGTCCTTCATCTTCTCAGGTTGCCGGCACTTGAATAAATCTCTTTCCTTCTCACCAGCACCTGTCTCATGAGTTTGGCTTTTGTTGAAACAGGCAACCAAATCTGGGCTTGGTTATAGTACCAGTTAAGTTTATTGTCATCTATCTGGCAGGCCCATATACACTCAGGAATCCTCAAGGTAGGATCCTTTCAAAATAAACAAACAAAATAAAAACTATTATTTTACAAAGGAAGAAGCTGAGACACAAAGAGAGTAACTTTTCCAAAAGCATAGAGTTGAGAAAGAATCAGAAAGACAAGCTGAACTCAGGTACGAGGTGTTCCATATCCTATAGGAGTAGCCATATTGGTGAAATTCTCCTCTTAACTCTTATAAGGTACCTATTGAGATGCTATGATAAAATGAAAAAGTTTTAAAAGAACAGAGTTTCAAAGTTATTTTCAGGTTAAAACACTGAAAAAGAAGCCCCTAAGTTGTCTTCCCAGAAGAATTATTTCCACCCTCCTGGTTAAATTACCTGCACCCACTCTTCCTCTTCTATTATTCTCTTAAGATTATGAATGCATAGCAATGTGCCAAGAAAATGAGTTCTCAGTAATTGTTGACAATCAATGAATATCATAGTTGTTCAATAAGTGCTCACTGAACTGAATTCAACTGAACAAAAAGAAAAGTTCAATCATCTGCATAAGAAGAGATTGGGATAGAACCATTTCACATCTCTGAAAGGAAATACCCAGGCTCCACTATTAAGTATATATGATCTATTAGGTCTCTCTACAGCTCTGTCTGCTCCACATCCTCACAATTCACCTTCCCTGAAATCTCACTATTCTCTCCTCTGAGCTACATCTTCCCTTTAGGTGAATGAGAATAGGGTGGCGGTTCCAAAGGAAGGGAACAAGGTCACAAATAATCACAGGCCTTTTCCATCTGTTCCAATCTCTCACACCATCCGAGAAGGCAAAAGGCTGGAGTGGGAATGTAAAATCCTCTACCTTTACCTCAACAACCCACCCCAGCATTCCAAACTCTCAAGAAAGCATGAAATTAGCTCAGCTTGTCAATCAGGGAGCACAGTTGGACTCTAGCTAAATTCTATCAAATGGAAGGGGAAGAAAACTTTGGAAAATTAAACTGAACGAGGAACCTTTTTCTCAGGGCAGGCAAGGCGCTTCTAATGACTTCTCACTGAAGGGAAGTTCACCAGGGACCCTGGCCTTCCTCCTCAGGAGAAGATGGGCCTCAGGCCACCTAAGCTAGAAACATTCCAACAAGAGCTACAGAATCAATTTTCCAGCAGCCTGCTAATGAGGAGCATCACACACCCAATTCCCTGGGCTTTTAATTTCCAAAAGGTATTTTAACTGTCATTTGATCTGAGGATTCCCAGGATCCCTGTAGGGTGGCCATGCGGCAACCTGTCAAAAAACAAAGTCTGCCTGGATCTTACAGAGGCAAGAGAAGTGAAGGTGTAGGAAAGGGACAAACCCACAGAAGCCAGGGCCATATGCCTTGAAGCCCTATTGTTTGGCCTCCATCCCCCAAAGCTGTCCCTGTCACTTCATGACACAAAAAGAGGCACCTGAGTCCCACAAGAAAAACTATGGGAAAGCATTTCATCTGGCCTCATAATAGAGGCATTCTCCTCCTTGCATGGCAGCTCCCGGGAGCAGTTATTCACTAGGGGTCAAAGGGCAACTACATACAAAACTGGGGGAGAGAATGAAAAAGAAATGGCAGCCAAGAGCCTGCCAAGTGCACATCCTCTGAAATGAGCCAGCACCATTTCCGTAAAGGTGGAGGCGAAGCCAGCGAGTTTTAATTTCCTACTCAGTTCTTACATGTACCTTGCCTGGGATAAGGTCTTAACTCTATTCCGCTACTTGATTTTCCTAAAGATGACATAAGATCATTAAAATATGTGGTCTATAAAATGATCTGCAACTCTTTAAAAAACTGCTATTCAAATTGAACGGTACAAGTAAAAATGAAATTCAGATAAGATATTTACTTACTCATTCTGTAAGTAAATAGCTAATTTTGCCAACAAGTACAGGAAAAGATGCTCAGCATCACTAAGTATTAAGGAAATGCAAACCAAACCACAATGAGATAGCACCGCGCCCTCATTAGGATGGTTACCATAAAAAAAAAACAAAAAAAAACCCCATAACTCAGAAAATAGCAAGTGTTGGTGAGGTTGTGAAGAAACCGGAAACCTCGTACACTGTTGGTGAAAATATAAAATGGTGCAACCACTTCGGAAAAGTTTGGAGGTTCCTCCAAAAACAGAAAGGAGATTCACCCTATGAGCCAGTCATTCCACTTCTAGATATATACTCAGAAGAACTGAAAGCAGGGTCTCATAGTTATGTGCACACCCATGTTCACAGCAGCATTATTCACGATAGCTAAAACGTGGAAGCAATCCAGTGTCCAAAATATTGGTCAGCCTTGAAAAGGAAGGAAATTCTGACATAGCTACAACATAGATAAACCTTGAGAACATTATTCTAAGTGAAATAAGCTGATCATCAAAAGACAAATGGTGTATAATTTCACTTATACGAGTACTTGGAGTAGTCAAAACCATAGCAAATGATGGGGCTGGAAAGGAATAGAAAACTACTGCTCAATGGGCACAGTTTCATGTTTGCAAGATGGAGGGTTCTGGAGGTGGATGGATGGTGGTGATGGCTGCTGGGCAATATGAATGTAGTCAATGTACACTTAATGGTTTAGGATATTACATGTATTTTACTGCATTTCTTTTAATGAGGAAAAAAATTAGTTAGCTAAACCTGCTTTTCCCTCAAAGAAAAAAAAGTAATCCTCCTAGGGACATGGTCAGCAAACTGCGGCTTGTGAGCCACATTCGGCTCTTTAGCCCCTTGAGTGTGGCTCTTCCTAAGCCTTAGGAGTACCTTAATTAAGTTAATAACAATATACCTACCTATATGTGGGGAGCCGATATGGGGCTAAGCCTCGGACTGACCTGTTGGCAAAGTCACAAACAGGTCTTCCGAGTCTTAAACAACCCAATCCGAGAGGTGGCCACTGATTTACACATGCTATCATTTAAAAAATAAAAAAGGGGAATTTTCTGGAAGCCAGTCCATCCTTGCTGCTTGACACAGTCGCTGCAGGGAAGAAACATCTGCACAGCATATGTTTCAAGGGAGCTGGCGTATACGGCATACTGTTCTTTATATGTTTGCTCCCCTACTTAGCGCTATGTGTTTTAACCAAGATCACCTCTCCAGGAAAGGCTGTTTCCCCAGGTGGGGATTTTTCCCTGAAATTACGGATTAATAGGACTAAGGAAGGGAATCAGTAAAATCCCTTAACTAAGTGCCAGGCGGGTAGTTAATCCGTTTAACTATGAACAACCTTGGAATGGAGATAACAAACGCCCTAACCTTTGAAATAGAATGGATAGGATTAAAATCAAATGGTATAAATATAGATGTAACAGGACAATAAAGGGAGAACTTCACTATGCTGATCAACTGAACAATGCCTCCGTGTCATTCCTTCTTCGCCGACTCTGTCCACACCTTTGGGGAACCCCTGGACCTGCTCAGGCTGGACCCCAACACTTATATAGTTTCAGTTTAAAAAATTTGGCTCTCAAAAGAAATTTCAATCGTTGTACTGTTGATATTTGGCTCTGATAACTAATGACTTTGCCGACCACTGTCTTAGGGGGCAGAGGAAAGTAATGAAGAAAGAAATCACAGGTCTATCATGTAAAAACATTAGCTGTTTTCAAGCTCTTTGAATTCCGGGCGTGGCTGCACAATCTGTTAACCACATCCATCCACCCCTCCTAAGCCACTCACCTCACTGAGGTAAATAAAAAAGGAGCAGGTGGACCCATCCACTCCGTAGTCTGCGTAGCAGGGATCCGAGCGCCACATATCTTTCATCCACTGAAACAACAAGAGCCAGGTAAGAACACCTCTGAATGGCCTGTTCCTGGTGACCTGCCCACCTGCTGATAGAGAGGGCACAGGTATTGCTCAAGCTGTGGCCTAAGCTCAGTTGCTTAGCTGAGGTCAGGATGACAGACGCTGAGCCCCTGCATGATCCACAGATGCACTGACCTGAGCTGGGCCTTGGCAGACGTGCTTAGTTAGAGTGGAGAGAGGCCGGGGACACGCCAGGCAGCGAAGCCCAGGAGAGGCAATGGCTAGGAGAGTTTTATCAAGAGCAGGTGCCTAATGGGACCCTGCACCCCAATCCCCCCTGTGCAGAAAGCTGGTGTCACCAGCGTAGCAGTTTCTTTCGGGAAGAGGACATGAATGAATGCGGGAGTCCCAAAAGGAGACCATGTGAACGTTTCTGGGGTTTGGTCTCCCCCTCCTAACTGTACTCCAGAGCCGAAACTTTTCTCTGGAAACCACTGAGCAGGGGAGTGGTCTACCCAAGGACAGGCCATATAAACAAGGTTTTTAAAAATGTTAAGATCATGGTCAAGTGTCTCTGGGTATTCAATTGCAAATGCAAATATGACGTTTAAATGACAACCTGGAGACCTCAGAAGTGGGCCCCAGGGATGGGAGAGAGATCACCTGCTGGAACCTGGGCACATGAGAAAAGGCTGCTTCAAAGACACAGAAGGGGACCAAGCTGGTCCAGGCTCTTTCAGTCTGACCAGTTAGAGCCACTGTTGACTACTCCCATGGAGTTGGCACAGCAGGGAAGAGTTGCCATGGCCACAGCCCCAAACAAGCAGGACTGCAGCAGCCCTTACATGACTCCCTTAAAGGGCTCGCTCTCCCTTTAAGGAAGGGCATGCAGAATGAGGATGATGGAAATACATACACATCACTTGACCTTACCTTGATTTTCCCCTCACAGTGAGGGTAGCCATCCATAGGAGGCAATACACACTTTTCTTGAGCTCCATTAATGATATCTGTAAAGGACGAAAAAGAACAAAGGATACCATGAAGTTTATGAAAAACAAGCCTAACATCCATGCTGTGAGCCATGTAACCTCCAGTTGGCAATAGGTCTGACCTGACCTGAGGAGGCCCACCTACGGCTGACCAGACACCCATGATGTGTGTGGCCCAGCTTGGAAGGGTGAGCTACACCAGTGGTCGGCAAACTGTGGCTTGAGAGCCACATGCGGCTCTTTGGCCCCTTGAGTGTGGCTCTTCCACAAAATACTGACTTCTGCGCATGGGCCAGGAAGTTTCAATCACACTGTACGTGCGCCCGCACGTGGTATTTTGTGGAAGAGCCACACTCAAGGGGCCAAAGGGCTGCATGTGGCTCGCGAGCCGCAGTTTGCCGACCACGGAGCTACACCAACCAGAGGGGCTGCTTGGAAATCTGCAAGTGGGAAACTGAGCAACCAAAGAAATAGGGAGCAGGAAACAAAGCCATGGGCCCCACCAGGTGATGCAGACAAACTGAGGTAACGAGCAGCTTCATGAAAATGCATGCTCGAGCAGAGGCAGCCAGCAGGGGAGAGGTGAGCAGAACCCATGTGGGGAGAGCAGAGAGCCCTGAGATATGTCTGATGTAGAGCCTCTTGTGGACCCGGTCCTTAAATTGCCTCTAAGATCTCCTTACTGCTTCAAATATTTCCTCACCACAAGCTCCCTTTCTACTAGCTAGCCCAAGTGCGTTCCTATTCCTTGTAACTACAGAGTAAGAATAAAAAGAATGCCTTTAAGAAGCTTTCCGTTTAGTGGTGAACAACAGATGAATAATTAAACAGCTGAGCAGCATGATAGGCACCATGCTCAGGTAGGGCAAGAGCAGGACGCCCACCCCACCCTCTAAGGGTCAAAGAAGTCTTCCTGGGTCCAGCACAGCTTGGCTGAGGTGTGAAGGTGAAGTAGGAGCAAGTCGGGTAGGGACAAGGGAGAGATGGTGATCAGGCATCGAGGTGGTTCCAAACGGGCCACCCTGATGGAATGCCAGTGTGAGGTGCGGGGAGGTCAGACAGGACAAGCAGGCAGGGGGCACATCGGAAGGACTTAGCACCAAGATCGGGACCCGGTCCCTGTGCCAAGGGTGTGACAGAAAGGCTTTGAGGAGAGAATGGTTGGGTCAGACTTTTGTGTAGGAATGACCACTTTAGCAGGACAGCCCTAAACCTACACGCTTCTCTTTTTGGACCTACTATATTTTCCAGAACTGCGGGGAAGATGTCACCATTCCTTATGCTGACAGTTTTCCATCTACACAAAGTACTAATGATAATTAGATCCCAAGCCATAGTACCATTCGACAATGGTACACAAGTGGCGTTGGTGGCTGCTGGGGCTAGAAGGGGGGTTTTGGTGGTATCTCTCCCTTGAAAACCAGTTCTTTTGATAGTCTGAAGCAGAGATTTTTTTTTTTAGCTCTTGATTCAGTGTTTTCAATGAGCATTCCACTTGCTAAGAAGGATAACTAGAACATAACACCAATATCCTCCTTACCATAGATTGGAGGCAGTGCCATTTAACAGTCAATATGGAAGGTACTTAGTTTGTCGAAGTCCCTGTCTCCCCATCTATAAAATCGGAATAACCATACTCTGCTTCACCCAGCTCCCATTTACTAAGTTAACGCACAAAAAGTCTGGCACTGCTAACAACTGGTACACAGACCAGAGCCCACACTTAGAAGCTGGCATTTGCTACACAATCGGACACAACTTTCACTCCCCATATGCAGGAAAACGTATTTCAAGTGCACAGTCACTCTGGAAGCACTCTCTCTCTCACTTACACATAAGGAAACCGCCGGCTCCAGAATCCATTTATCGAATAGCTGGTCTCACCAAAGAATAGGACGCTTCTCCATACCTACCGCACCTATCACTAGCTTTAATTCGGTTTTTCTGTGACACATTTACGAAGCAAAGCAGCAGCAGAGGTCCCAAGGAATGAAGCCCGGTCTAGAACAGCTGGGAGCAGACAGTCGGACATTTAAGGAGACACTTAGGTAAAATGCCCCCTTTATTTACATGCTCTCCCAGTTCCGATGTTCAGAGCCAGAAGTCCACAAAACTAGAAGCTGCTGAGTTGGAGGTGTGATGTGCGGGGTGAAGAGAAATTACCGGGGGGTAGAAGGGACGAACAGGTCCATGAAGGTAAGCAAGCAAAGCATATCTGCCGACAGTGTGTGCCCTCCTCATCAGGAGTTATGTCAAGGGTAGGCAAACATTGCCCGTGAAGGACCAGATGGTAAGTGTATGAGGCTCTGCAGGCCGCACGGTCTCTGTCACAGCCACCCACTCTGGCTTGTATCAGGAATGCAGCCACAGATGATGGGAAAGAACTAGCCTGGCTGTGAACTTACAAAAGCTGGACTTACAAAAGCAGGCACAGGCCCCCGTGTCTGCTTTGCCTAGAGTTCCACAATGAGGAGCCTCATTTCTGCTAAGTCCGGTTGAATCC